TTGTTTTTACAGTTGATGGGTTTAGCTTGCTAAGGTTGTGGTGGACATCTACATGGTGCTGTGTCAAAAAAGAACAGGGGAAAGGAAAGGAAAGGAAAGGAGGGAGGGGAGGGATAGAGGGAGGAAAGGAGGGAGGGAGGGAGGAAAAGTGGGAAGGAAAGAAGGAAGGAAATCTTGCAATCTTGATGCATTGAGAATTCTTATATATTAGAGATATAGCTTGACATAACCCCTGACAACAGTAATACGTAGAGCTGTTGTAAGCCTTCTTTTGAAGCCATCTTCTCTGCACTCTTCTACCCAAAACGTTAAACCTATCATTTCAAACTCTGCTCCGAACTTCCAAAAGTGATTGAACATTATGTCCTCACTGGGTCTGAAACAACGAAGCCTCAGTTCTAATGCAGGTTCCCCAAGGTGCCTTCTCCATTTTTCTGGATTTCAGTTACTGTAATCCAAGCACCACGCTAGCAGGGGACGTTAAGAGTTGGTTCAACATGTGTGGAAGGTATCAAGTTACAGAAAGCTCTCCTATTGCAAAGGGTTTTTGTCATTTGATACTGACTTCTTTCTCTCCTCAATCTGTTAGACTAGACTAGACTAGACTAGACTAGACTAGACTAGAATAGACTAGAATAGAATAGAATAGAATAGAATAGAATAGAGTAAATAGAATAGAATAGAACAGAACAGAACAGAGTAGAATAGAATAGAATAGAATAGAATAGAATAGAATAGAATAGAATAGAATAGAATAGAGTAAATGGAATGGAATAGAGAATAGAACAGAATAGAGTAGAGTAGAGTAGAGTAGAGTAGAGTAGAGTAGAGTAAATGGAATGGAATGGAATGGAATGGAATGGAATAGAATAGAAGTAAAGTAGAGTAGAGTAGAGTAGAGTAGAGTAGAGTAGAGTAGAGTGAATAGAATAGAAGTAGAGTAGAGTAGAGTAGAATAGAATAGAATAGAATAGAATAGAATAGAATAGAATAGAATAGAATAGAATAGAATAGAGTAAATGGAATGGAATAGAGAATAGAACAGAATAGAGTAGAGTAGAGTAGAGTAGAGTAGAGTAAATAGAATGGAATGGAATGGAATGGAATAGAATAGAATAGAATAGAATAGAAGTAAAGTAGAGTAGAGTAGAGTAGAGTAGAGTAGAGTAGAGTAGAGTAGAGTAGAGTAGAGTAGAGTGAATAGAATAGAAGTAGAGTAGAGTAGAGTAGAATAGAATAGAATAGAATAGAATAGAATTGGAGACCTTGGAGGTCTTCTAGTCCAGCCCCCTAAAACAAAGCTGGAGGCTTTCTTCTCTGAATGATGGACTTTAGAAGATGATTATTAATAAAATCATATAATTATTTTCTCATCGTCTCACATCTACACATGCCTGAAGAGGCTTTCACTGCCTTATGATTTCGAGTATATCTTTTTAATGCATCAGATGTTTTTTTTAAAAAAAAAAAACCTGTGGCACACTCAGTTTCATAATTTGTAAATAAATGAAACAGAAATAAAACTTAGAAAAGCCTGACAGTTATGTCACACGAGACACAGATTTCCAAAACTGTAGTTCTGTTGTGACTGTTTCCTCAGATCATCCTCTTGAGAATGGAATTGTTTTCATGGAATATTAGCTCACAGGAAATTGAAATATCAGGGTTTCTTTTTCTGTTTATCTGTAACTGCATCACGACATGCTACGTTTGGGTAGAATGTAAGCATTGTTTTTGATCTTAGGAAGGGCTAACACAACTGGAATTTTTTCTTTCCCCCCCCCCCCCCGAAGATCAAATTAAGCCAAGGCAAGACCTCACAAAAACCTCAATATATCTATATGATGTGGCTTCCATTGGTAACTCTTCTGAATCTTGGTAAGTTCAACAACCTCAGATATGCCCAAACATATTCTGTATATTTGACCAATTTATACTACAAATACCTTAGCTAGCAAATTTGATGTGAGCCTAGCTGAGATCTAGCCAGATATACATCTTTCACTACACACCGTGTACCATGTGATTGCCCATCTCTAACTCATTGTAGGAGATGAGTTAATCTAGGATGACAAAAAAAATAAATAAATCAGGAAGATTCTGGCAGCACAACTTCGGACCCACAAATTTTATTAAAAGACATTAGCTGTATCACAAACACCAAATGCTTGTTCATAAGACTTTGAGAATAGATAGTTCTTATTGGTTCTTATTATTTGTAGTCATGATGAAAAAGATGTTGAGACTCTAGAAAGAGTGTAGAGAAGAGCAACAAAGATGACACACACACAAAACGAAACAAGTAAAGGCAATAACAAGACACTCCTGTAACCCTGCCAAGAAAATTATATGGGTGCAATCACCTGGAGTTGGGCTGGACTTGGGTTTCAGATGCCAGGATTCTTTTTTTTTTGCTGGTTTTTGTATTTGTTTATTGTTTTATTATTGTTTGTGGCCTGCCCTGAAGAATTGAACATGACTCCTTTGATGTCTTTACCACCCGCGTTCTCTGTATTGGCTAGGTTAGGGCTGGCTGGCTCAGGAATTCTGGGAGTTGAAGTCCACAAGTCATAAAAGAGCGAAGGTTCCCCACCCCTGGGCTAGGTGGACCCTTCAATGCAATGATACACTTAAGCCAGAGACAGTACAGTATAAGTCCGGGGTAGGCAACCTTGGCTCTTTTATGACTCGTGGACTTCAACTCCCAGAATTCCTGAGCCAGCATGGCTCAGCTTGGAAACCTCTCCCTTTCCCCTCAGCACGGCTGGCTCAGGAATTCTGGGAGTTGAAGTCCACGAGTCATAAAAGAGCCAAGGTTGCCTACCCCTGGTATAAGTAAATAAGAAAACTAATAAATGATGTCATGGAAAGTCCAAAGTTGGACAGCTTAAAGCTTCACATCAAGTAACCAGCCTTCCCCTGTTCAGTATTTTCCAGCTGATGGTGGACATCAATGTTCAAGATTCCCAAATGATTGAGAGTTAGCATCAAGATATCTGCAGTCGTTCGTTCAGAGAAGCCTGTCATTCAACAAACTATGTCTCGTCTTCATTTTGTATTCAGTGCTACTCACAGACTTCCTAAGCAGTCAGAATAGCTGTCAGCGTGGCGCCTGTCACCCATCAGTTGGAGACCTGCTTGTGGGACGCAGCCAACAGCTGACCACTTCGTCTACGTGTGGACTGTTTGGCCCTCAGAAGTATTGCATTGTTGGGTACCTTGAGGTGAGTTCGTTGTGATGCCAAAAAGATAACTGGAACTATAAATATTATAGTCCTCCCAAATCTCTTTCTGTTAGAAAGGCGATCCCGGTTTGTTCAACTGCAGGCTAACCAGTAGAAAAAAAACATAGAATATAGAATATTCTATGGGACCAAATGTACAGGTATAGTATAGGGGGTACCTGGATCAATAGTAGTAACTGTGAGAGGGCTCTCGGAGTCCTAGTGGACAATCACTTAAATATGAGCCAGCAGTGTGCTGCAGCTGCCAAAAAAGCCCACCCCAGTGCTGGGCTGCATTAACAGAGGGATAGAATCAAAATCATGTGAAGTATTAATACCACTTTACAATGCCTTAGTAAGGCCACACTTGGAATATTGCATCCAGTTTTGGTCACCACGATGTAAAAAAGATGCTGAGACTCTAGAAAGAGTCCAGAGAAGAGCAACAAAGATGATTAGGGGACTGGAGGCTAAAACATATAAGGAACGGTTGCTGGAATTGGGTCTGTTTAGTTTAATGAAGAGAAGGACGAGGGGGGACATGATAGCAGTGTTCCAATATCTCAGGGGCTGCCACAAAGAAGAGGGAGTCAAGCTATTCTCCAAGGCGCCTGAAGGCAGTACGAGAAGCAACGGGTGGAAACTGATCAAGGAGAGAAGCAACCTAGAACTAAGGAGAAACTTCCTGACAGTGAGAACAATTAACCAGTGGAACAACCTGCCTCCAGAAGTGGTGAATGCTCCAATACTGGAAGTTTTTAAGAAGAGACTGGACAGCCATTTGTCTGAAATGGTGTAGGGTTCCTGCCTGAGCAGGGGGTTGGACTCGATGACCTCCAAGGTCCCTTCCAACTTTATTATTATTATTATTATTATTATTATTATTATTATTATTATTATTATTATTATTATTATTATTATTATTATTATGGATCATCGCACAGTCAGCCAGATGTTCAGACTGGATTTGGCATTTTGTCTACCTATCGAGTCCTTTTCTAGGACCTGGGATAGGCAGATGTGGATGTTTGATGGTATTACAGATATCGTCGCAGGATGGAAGCAGTTCCTAGTAAGGCCGCCTTTTGCAATTGACTAATAGCAAATTTGTCAATGCCAATGGTGTTCAAGTGGTGCTCCAGTTGTTTTGGAATTGCACCTAAGGCGCCTATTACTATTGGTACTACTTTTGCTTGCTT